TTTATCTGCTAACCATCTTGCACCGCCGCACACTCTTTGCGGGACACGCCGCCCGACCTCCTGTCGGGAAGACTTTCGACGCAAGGCTCGAACCGCAGATCTTTCCTTCGCTGGGCTACACCATTTGATCCGCCAAATCATCTTGTACCGCCGTGGCTATAACTTCACGGGACGCGCCGCCCGACCTCCTCTCGTCGGGAAGACTTTCGACACAAGGCACCACCTGCAGATCCTCTTTCTTGGTCTTGGTCCTAGTTACACCGTCACACTGAGATTTTTCCACACTGCACAGTCCGCTACTCCTGCCCGCAAGAACCTGGGCTCCGATACCACATGTTGGGACTGCGCGTGCCCTCACCCCAACCCCGCATTAGTATGATATTGTCCGCTCTGGGCCAAGCCCTCACGGATTTGTTTTTGGGCACCTCCCAAAAGGCCTCATACTAATGGGATTGGGTGAACCTATACATTTTTGGTTCATTTACTCCTACTCATCCGGTGTGGGACTTGGAGGAATCCCAACAATAAAGATTCATTTCATTTTTCACTTGTGCTTGAGATTGCACATCATAAGGATTAAATTAATTGGTGTTTTGTTTTGACTAATACAGAGTATTTGTAGGATGAAGAGTCATTGTATGTGAGCTCACTTGTTTGGTAAAATCATGTCTAATGACAATGACCTTAATTAATTGAGAAATATAAATGCCTGGTGCCAATTCATCAAACAATAGAGGAAATTGAAGGAGCATATCTGCAAATCTATTCACTAATGCATATCGTACGTATAGGGAATTTTTTTCTCTTAGTGGCCAATAATTTAGAAACTTTTGAAAGATCAAGTTGCGTTTAGGATAATGATACTACATACAAAGTTACATGACTTGATGTTTGATGCAGAAGATTAATGAACCTTTCCTACATGGCCACATACTTCTCTCCTCACACTTGTTTTAATTGCTCCCTCTGTCTCGCTATATATTACAATTTTTTTCCCTCACTTTTTAATAATCTTTTCTATTTATGTGCTTTCATTCATTATTTGGTAAAATAAAATATTCGTTTCAAATTTGATTTTGTAGAACTTTTGACATAATTTTTTAATATGTAAATTTTGTTTTTTATTTCTTATACCATGATATTAAAAGAACCAAATTTTACTTCATAATTTTAAAACTGTAGTTTAATTTAGGATTAAGAGAATATTTTAGAGAGCTCAAATTGCTTCCATTATCTTTCACCCCTATGTTTAATTTTTTTATCCATTAATCAATCTAGTGTCGCCTACCACTCTCCCAAATGTATTGCTCTCTTTATCTTAGAACCCCACAAAACATTTTTTTTCTTTTTATTTTTAGACCCATTTGGTATCAGCGTTAGAGGTTAGCGTTAATATTTTAAAAAGTCTATCTGACGGTAACTTTTAACATTAGCGCTTTCAGAACTAATCTCCACTGTAAAATTTTATCCAAAAATCTAACGCTAATCGAAAACATTGTTCCCAAACAAGACCTCCATCTCTCATAAAAAAATATTCATCTTTTGTTGGAGTTTTGACATCAGGAAATAAAGAACACCACTAACATATATAGAAGGGTTAAGTAACTACCTGCTATCAGTTTAAGCTTTTGGGTTCGAAAGCGGATCCCAACTTTATATGCAAGTGGTTAATTATAATTACCCTGCACTCTACCTTTGTTCTCGGCCCACCGAAATTTTAACATTGTATCGGAACAAGTCTAGTTCGGGTTCGTTTCTTCCTCGTTGTTAGGATGTGGGTTTAGCGATATAAGCTACCCGTCCGTGGTTTAGGTCGAGTTAGCAATAAGAGATTGAGATGTCACGTACCACCCGTTGTGTGGGCTAGCTATAAGAAATTGAGATGCCAGACTCATTTGTTAAAGTGCTAACTAGATCTGGCTAGTTACTTGTTGAAGAGAGTGTTTGAGTTTCCACATCAAAAAGATAAAGAAGAGCACCACTAGCATATATAGAAGGATGAAGCCTTACCCATTAGTTTAAGCTTTTGGGTTGGAAAGCGGATCCTGACTTTATATGCAAGTGGTTAATTTTACCACACTCTACCCCTTGTTTTCGACCCATTGGAATTTTAACATCTCTCAATTAAAATTGCTCCTTTTTTTCAAAATAACTTTTCTTTCACTTTTTTCTCTACCTAAAATATATTTCCACTTTTCATTGAAAAAACACTTTTACCCTTACTAGTTCTTGCCTACTACCTATCACATAATCTCAATTCAATATTAATTTACTCATGACGTAATACACTCACTTTAAATTTGTCAAAAGTCAAAATGAGAATACTTTTTTTAGACGAAGAATGCATTTATTTATCTTTATTATATTCATTTTAAGTTATTCATCACATTTTTTCTACTCCCTTCTTCTTCGAGTATTTGTCCAGTATTCCTTTTCGGGCCATCTCTCCATATTTGTCCATTTCTCTTATATGAAAACTCTCTCTTAACAAAAAGTCCATTATACCCTTACATCTCTATATTCATTTGAGAGGCCAAATATTCTCCCTCCCACACATCACGTACGGATTTCCTTCCTCAATTTCTTATTCTGCTTCCTCTACCTCTCACATCTCTCTCCCATCTCTAATTTCTCTTCCTCTTCATCTCTGATTCTCTTTCTTTTCTTGGCTTTCATCTCCAATTCTCCATCCTCTCTCACTCATCTTCAAACACAATAGTTGTTGACCGATAGATGTCTTCTTTGACACCGAGCTAGAACTAGACGTTTTTTCTGTCGCCGGCTAGAAATAGACAATTTTAGTTGACTTTGAAGTAAAAAAATTTGACTCCATAATCAACTAAAATGGGAGAATGCGATTGAAGGGGTTTGAGGGGTCAAATCGGGTCAGGTCGGGGGTGGTTACCAGAAATGTTAGATGGCGTAGAAAGCGTCGATTTTTCGAACGAACCTCCGTATCAATTGAAGTCCTCCCACAATATTTAAACTCAATATCATGAGAACATTCCCGAATTTTAATTTATAATTAGGATAAATATCTCTAAACACTCTCGGCAGAAAAATAAGAAATGAATCCTAACAAGTATTTACAGCGTACTCTTGGTACCACTATGATTTCTATTTTGACACATCACAACATTTTTCGCGCACAGGTTCCTGACAAATACGGAGTAATAGTTTTAACTATATTTTTAAAACTCCTAGCTTAATTCTTTTTAAAACTCCTAACAAATTAGAAATGAGTTTCTATCTTGCTACTCCAAATTAATTTTTCATTTGATTTTTTACGATCTTCAATTCAATATTTTGATCATTAATATCTATATTAATATCTATATATAATTATATATTATAATTAATATCTATATATAATTATATATTATAAAATAGAATATTTTAAAAAAATGTTTCAAAGATATTCAATTTATATAAAATTTCAATGTATTTTTCTGTGATATGCGATCAAAGTTTAAAAACTTGGACCAAAAAAGTGAAATTGGAAAGTTAATTTTAGGATGGAGAAGGTAATATTTTAGCCAACAACATGAAAGTAATAGTACAAAACTAAATCAATGTTGTTATTAACAATAATACATGTATTAGGAAATGGAATATTAATATTTATCACCTTTCTTATTACATTACTTCCTTGTTAAACTGTTACTATAATTTTTCACTTAATTAGATTAGGATTCTTTTTTGTAATCTCTATATATAATGATGTATCCTTCATTATTCAATAAGATCAATATTTATCACATTGTATCATGGTATCAGAGCTAAGGTTCTAAAAAATCTAGTCCTTCTTTTCTGACCGAGTACATCACCAGTCTTTGTTTACGGCGGTTGACCGTCTGGCAGCATGGTGTCACCGACCAATCTCGACGAGCGTGCCTAAGAGCCGTCGTCCATTATCTCTCTCTTTCTTTCCAAAAAATCTACTATCTCTCTTTCTTCTAAAAAAATCATGGGTGTGATCGAAAAAACAGGAAAGTTGCATTTGTCTGTGTTTTTTCTGGAGATCGAGAGCATGAAAAGCGATAGAAAGCAGAGAATGGCTCAAAAGGGAAAAAAAGGATTCCACATCCTCGCTCTAATCACCAACACTCTCGCTAGAAAAAACTCAGCAAACGTAGTCTCGAGCTCTTTCGTCATGAAACGAAGATCTGACTCTATACTTCTAGAGACTATCCTTACAAATTTGCATCCGTTGGCCCAATTCTTGTACCTGTGCTACAAGCTGCTCCTCGTTACTAATGATCACCTTGCTAGAAGATATTAGCAATAATAGATGTATTAGGAAAAAATATTATTATTTATTAAATTCATTATTACATTACTTTGTTATTGTATTCTTATTAGAGGCCGGTTCCCATGACATTGGGAGTCAATGTCATGAGATGACCGAGGGGAGCTCCAGTGCCCCGTTCGTAAAATTGACGGTTCATACCCCTCACCCGTTCTGAACACGCCCCACCCCCTTCAATTGCACCCCCAAGTTAATTTTGACTTTGGAGTCAGATTTTGATTCCAAAGTCAAAATCAACTTGGGGGGTGCAATTGAAGGGGGTGGGGGGCGTGTTCGGTTCGGGGCGGGGTGGGAGGGTTTATCGGGGGGTAGGAACCGTCAATTTTATGAACGGAACACCAGAGCATCCCCGGGTCATCCCATGACATTGGTTCTCAATGTCATGTGAACCAAGATGTTGTTATTATAAGTCTTCTCCTACTTAGATTAGGATTCTCTCTTGTATCTCTATATATAGGGATGTATCTTTAATTTCATTATTCAATAAGACCAATTATTATCAAATTGTATCAGTTTCAAGCCATTGACAATTCAAATACATACCGTAGATCGATGTTTCTGGGAAACTTGTTGTATTAAAATGAAAAGATGAAGAAAAATGATATTTGTACCCTAAGAATTTAATTTCTACCCCATTTTGTATACCGCATGGATGCACCAACATTTTGTGTTGGTGTAATAATGCTAATTATTGTTAACGCACCAACACTTTGTGTCAGTGTAAATTTTTGTTAACGCACCAACATTTTGTGTCAGTGTGAACCATCAAAATATTGGTGCATACTTTTAGTGTACAAATGAGGTACAAATTTTGGGTACATGAAGCATGGTCCAAAGATGAATGTTGTACGTACTTGTCCTTTACGAACAGAGATTTGCGTTTATTAACCAGTAACGCTTTTCGAACAATACCTCTTGTTATATTAAACAA